TTCAGATGGCCAATAAGTGTCTTGAGTAGGCTTGGAATCTGAGTCTTCCTGACTGTGTCCAAAGATTTTTCTTATGGTCTTATTGCATTTATGTCATGGAACATGAAAATATTTTTAAAAATTAGAAATTAGTATCACCCAGAAAGCAGTAGAGAGGTGCCTGAGTTCATGATTATATGAGCAGGCTGAACAAATAAAGAATAAAAGATTTAAAGGAGATTTGGAGCAAAAGTTGTCATGGGGAGAATCCATGACTGAAAAAAAAAACAGCTGATCACCTGAGCAGGGATGGTGAAGTAGAAGCACAAGGCTTCTACTGGAATCATTGAAATATCAGGAATTTGAAGAGCTTCTCCAGCACATTGGGTAGATAAATAGAAAGACATAGATAAGAATCATACTTCATGGGCAACCATACAAGTCAAGTCAGGTCCACAAACATTTTACCTACTATGTACCAGGCATTGTGCTAAACACTGGGGATGCAAAGAAAGGAAAAAAAGCACCCACTGCTTTCAAAGAGCTCTGTTTCTAGTAGGATGACAGCATACAAATAACTATGTACATACAAAATATATATAGGATAAACTGGAGGTTATCTCAAAGAGAGACCTCTAGTATTGAGTATGTTCTAGTATTGAGTAGATTGAGATCTACATTGTTAGAATATGCAAACATCTGATGTTATAAATTTATTTGAGTTTTTTTTTTACTGAGAGGGGAAATATTCAATATACAAAAAAGCATTAGTTCTTATCATTAGTTTTAATTCCTTCCCTCACCCCCCAAAAAAAATTACTTCTAAAAAGAAGTCAAATTGCCTAAATTGAAAGTTACCTCCTTTCCCTTCCTCTAGCCAGCAAAGAAGCAAATGAGAAAAGAATTCCATAGGATTGTGAAAAGTTGGAATTTTAATGTACTTTCAAGTTAATGTAACCCAAATACCTCATTTTATTTATAATGTTAACACCTCAGAAATTCTGCAATATGTTTTTCCTGTTCCCATTTCTGTCTGAAGGAAAGCTAGTACCTTCCCTCTGAGATCACCTGTACACACACACGCAAACACACACACACACACACACACACACACACACACATGCATACACATGCATATGTGCATAAAGATATTTATCATACATATATTTTTGGTTGCATGCTGTCTCCCCCATTAGAATGTGAGCTCCTTGAGAGCACAAAGTGTTTTTGCCTTTGTTCCACATTCTTTAGCATAGTGCCTGGCACATAGTATGTGTTTAATAAATTCTTGCTAACTGATAGACGGTAGACTAGATATAGTGCTAGTGGAAAATATGGATTCAAATTTTACCTTTGACATTATTGGCTTTGTGAACCTGAAAAAAAAAATTGACTTCTAAGTACTTGGGCAAATCCCTAGAACATAAGATCTAGGTCAGAGATGGGTTTGGATCTAGAATGAGTTTAAAATTTTCATTGATGAAAGAAGTTGCTACACCAGGAATCCTTTTATCCCCCAAGCTGATAAAATCACAGGTCTTCTATTTGCTAGATAAATAGCTACTCATTTTCTAAGAGTCCTGGCTCTGGAATTAGGCAACCTGGGTTAACATTCTCTTTCTGTCACTTATTGCCTATATAATCTCAGGGAAATTAGACAGTCAATTGGCATTTACTAAGCACACATTTACCATTTGATGTTCAGTCATTTTTCAGTCACATCTGACTCTTCATGAGCCCAATTGGGGTTTTCTTGGCAAAGATACTGGAGTGGTTTGCCACTCATTTGCCACTGGAGTGGTTCTCCAACTCATTTTACAGATGAGGAAACTGAGACAAACAGGGTTCAGTGACTTGCCAAGGGTCACATAGTGTCTGAGGCCAGATTTGAACTCAAGAAGATGAGTCTTTCTGACTCTAGACCCAGCAATCTATCTTTTATGCCACCTTACTGCCATGCATTTACCAGGTATGATATTAAGCACTGGGGATACAAAGGCAAAAATAATGGCATTCTGGAAACTCACAATTTAATGGCTTATGTATGTGTGCAATGTGTAAATAGCTAGGAATCTTCAAGCTGCATATAGAGCAGGTGAAGGCAATCTTGAAAGGGAAAGCATTAGGATCTGGGTGGGGGAGGGATAAAACAAGGAAGACTTACTGCAGGAGATAAGATTTAAACTGTGTCTTAAAGAACACCAGGAAAACTAAGAGGTAGAGGTTATGAGGGAAAGCATTCCCAACATGGGAGACAGTCTGTTCAAAGTTACTTATGTGGAAATTAGAGCATCATGTTCAAAGAAATGAAAGTAGACTAGTGTAGCTGGATCGTAGAATGCATGAAGGAGAGGAATATATAGGAGGGCAGGAAAGGTAGGAAGGACCCAGATTACAAAGGGTTATAAATGCCCAACAGATGCATTTATATCTCATTTGTGACCATAATATGGAACCACTAGTACTCATTGAGCATAGAGGTGACAAGATCAAACCCAAGTTATGAGAAAATCCCCTTGCAAGCTCAGTAAGGGATGGATTGAAGTTGGGAGAGACTTGAGGTAGGGAGAGCTATTAGAAAGCAATTGTAGTAAGACAGGCAAGAGGTGTTAAAGCCCTGAACTAGGGTTGTAGCTATATGAATAGAAAGAAAGGGATTTATATGAAAGATGTCATAAAAGGAGAAATGACCAGATTTGGCAATGAATGGAATAGAAGGGGTAAGAGTGAGTAGACTTGTATGACTCTGAGGTTGTTGGCCTGTAGTGACTGGAAAGAGTGACTAGTACCATGGACAGTGAAATCAAGCATTTACTGAATGTTTATTAATTGATTGACTAAGAAGCTCTGAAGGGCAAGGGATAGATGGGGACTTGGGGAGGGGGAAGGGTAATGAGTTATGTTTTATACATGTTGATTTTGAGATGCCCATGCAGCATCCAGCTTGAGATATTCAAAAGGCAGTTGGAGACACATTTAACCTTAGTGGGCCTCAGTTTCCTTATCTGTAAAATGAGGTATATGGACAAGATGCTTAATGAGGTCCCTTTCTAGGTCTATGATCCCATTATCTTTTGAACCTATCTTTCTTCCAAACAAACCTGTGAGGTAGGCAATCCAAATATCATTAGTTTCATTGTAGATATGAATGAAAACAAATATAGGCTTTAGTCCCTCTCTGAACTGAGTTATTCTCATTTCCATTATTATGAGACTTGATAGAGATTGTGGTTTATGAGGATATGATTTAAGAACTTAGTGGCATCAGAGTAGGATTTTAGTTGCATTATATATCAGTTGCATTATGTAAAGTGAAGGTGAAAGTAATCCAAAAAAGGTATTCTAGTGCCGATGTGTCAAACATATGACCCACAATACTCCAAAGTACAACCTGAACCAGATTAAAATATAATTGGAAAATATTTAATAAAATAAATAAAAATACAATAGAATATACATAATGTTAACATGTGGTTTTCTAAGTTAATATGCAACTACAGGGATTTTTATGTATGCTTAATGGGCCCCACTTCTATTTGAGTTTGACCATACTGACTTAATGCATTTTATTGACTTGCTGAAAGGATCATAACTCATACTTATATATCATTTTATGGGGAATATTAAATTTACCCTCATAACAAAGCTCTCAGTTAAGTTATACAATTAAGTGTATCCCTTTTTTGCAGATGAAGAAGCAGTTTCAGAAAACTTAAGTGATTTATGCAAGGTTACATAACGTATTAAGTGAGAGAGCCAAGATTTAAGAACAGTGTTCTTGGTCAGCTCCTTTTCATTCCAGAAGAATCTCAATTCCTTTTCCTTGTATTTTGCCTCTTGAACTCTATACAACCTATGACTGATTTTCCTTAGCTTGATTCTGAGAAAAAAAATACATTGTAGAGAGAACAAGAGAAGAATATGTAAGTTGCTCTTAGATAAGAAAAGGGAGTG